TGTAGACTCTTCAAATCTGTGAACTTGTGTAAAGACTGCAGGTTTGTACAACAGACTTTCTTTCCTTAAGTACCTGCATCTGTTGATCCCTAAGAAGTTCTTGCACCCTGGTAGTTCACAAGCCAAACTGAACTTTCAAAAAATATCTCAGTGAAAATCAACATAGTTCAGAAGCCTGGAGTAACATTTTGAACCACAAAGCAACACCTCTTCATACACTAGTCCTTAAAAAGGCCTTCATGCCTTTTAAGATTTAGTTGCAGTCAGAGGATTTAGTCTTCAGAGTGGAGGAGGGACCTCTGCCAGCAGAATGGCAACCTCTATGCCCCTTAGGACAGGAGCAATGATAAAGAAAACTCATCAAGACTTGATATGCACTTGTAGAACAAAAACTAAACTTTCATAAGCAGAAAAAAACCCCGTTGCTTCCTGGCACATAGTAGTCATTTGTACATATTGCTGAGAGGATGAAATTGCTAAACTGGTATTCTTCCTTCATCCAGAAAGGTTTTTATAATAAGCAATCAAAAGGCTCTGAAGAGTATTGGGTCTGTTCAGCGACCGTGTCCAAGAGGCTGCGGTGCAGCAGCTCTGAACACATCAGGCTGCACCCTCCCAGGCCTTTCTGCTCCCCTGGCTCTTGGTTCCTAGGACTAGCTCAGCTTTCACAGCTGGACATGACTTCTTGTGTCTGTGCCCACACATCTGGCTGTGCTTTTGCTCTCAGGGTGTGAGAATTTTGCAGTGAATTCAAGGAAATTTATTTTTAAGTGGTGCAAGACTACCTTGTTGGCAGGACTTTCTTGTTCCAGAGATCTCACAGCCTCTCTCCTAGGTTTTCATACAACTCAGTAAAACCGTAAAACGTGCAAATTTTCTCTGCGGTTGATCTTCCCAGCCATTAATATTTGATGGAAGTCAGAGCAGAGTATGTAGCCCCCTTTACCTCACCTCTGGGGAGCCTGTTTGTGCCCTTCTCTCCCCTCCAGCTCCCAGACTGCAGAGGTGAAAAAAAGGCAGCTGTGCCAGCCCCAGGGCTCTGCAGATGATGCACGGACCTGCCAGACTTGGAGGAGCCCTGCCTGTTGTACCATGTCCTCTGTTGCAATGCTAGTTGCATGCATTGGCCTATGTCATGGGTCTGAGGTGCCACAGGGTTATTTTCTGGCCGATTCCAAAGCATTTTGTACATCCTTCAAGGGGAAGTTGTGCAAGGGCACTTGAGGGGATCCAGCAGCACTGGTGTGCAGTTTTACACCCAGGTGTAGGGCATTGTCCCTACTCGTTCCCACCTATGTATTGGCTAGGTAGGGTTTAAAGCAGCAAATGTGGATTAGGGTTATTCCACATGAATGTTTAGGAAGTTTAGCCTACAGCTAGTGCTGGTGCAGTCTGGGTGAATCTGGAAAGACACCCAGGGAGATGACTGGCCAGCTGATACCTGGTACTTGCTGTTGCTTCTGCTGGTTTGTTGTTACAGTGTCTCCCTTTTTGTTTATTCAGTCTCACTCCTGTTGCTGTATCATAAATCATTTACATTTCTGAGGCAGGAATCCAATATCCCTGTATCCACAGGTATCAAATCTACTGAGATCCTGGTCAGAGAATAAGTCATCAATGGTACATAGAATTAGTAAGGCGGACTTCTGTTGTAAGAGAAGTGGTCAGGAGAGCAAGAAGGCTTCTTAACTGGCCTCCACTACATGCTCTGCAGCTAATCTAAATATTATTGGAACTGTGTTTTTTAACAAAGGAGTAGAGTTGTGCTCCCAGGGTTTGTTTTTTTTCATCTTCTGTCTGATATTGGTGTCTGTCCAGTGAACACAAGGATAAAGCTAGCAGATATCCTTATGTAGATCCTTATTGTAGGATGTAAATTTGCATCTGTCATGAAATGAAATGATCAAGGTTTTGCAACTAGATTGCAAGACCGTTTTACAGCTATGCTGTTACTAACTGTTCTCTGGGGTGGGCAGGAATCCTGTGGGAATATTTCTTGCTTTATGTTACTGTTTTCTGGAGATCAGCTCTCACGCTTTCTTGCAACATGTACTTTTTTTATTGGTAGGTAATCCAGCGGTGCTATTATATATTATAGCATGATAGGTAAGGACATAGAAGCCTGAGTAACCGATGGCTTTGAGTAAAATGGACATCTGAAGGACACAGTTCAGCATTTTCTCTCCTTCAGGAGAAATACCATATCCTGTTTACAGGTCATGTGTGTGTATTTGGCCAGACTCATCCCTTCTATAAATCATTTGCTCTGAATGGAACCTGGGCAGGAGTTTTACTCAGGCCCTAGTGGTGTTTGTTTTGTGAGCTCGAGCTCTTAGAGCATGGTTAAAAGAAATCCAAAAGGCCAGCTGTTCTCTGAGGTTTTTAAAATTGCTCATTTGAATTCCTATTTAAATGTAGTCTCTTATAAAGTGGTGCTTCTTTGTGGTCTTAACTGTTAGACACATTGAAAAATAATATAGTATATTTAATTCACTATTTTATTCACATAAGGGCACTAGTATTTCATGGGCCTTGAAATACGCAACAAGTGTAACAAGCCTGGGACTACAGACAGAATTTGCATCATCTAAACTGTTATCTAATCAGAGATTCCACTCCCCCATAAACCTAATTGGAAAAAAAAAAAGACACACACAGAGAGATGTTAATTATGTCACTTTGTGCCCTGGAAAGTGCTGACTCTGTTGGGAAGCATACCTGGCAGAGATGCTAGTTAAGGGGAAGAGCACTAATCTGGTAAGTCTTCGTGTCTTACCTGTAGCACTGCAGGGTCCAGGTGAGTAACTGACTGAGCAGATGACACATTTTAGCCATGTTTGATTTGCTGTGGCAATCAAGGAAATAATTCCTAAATGAAGACTGTTTTTTGTGGGAGGGGGTTGCCAGATGCAGAGAGCATGCTCTACGTTATCTTGTTCCCATTATCATGGTACCATAGGTGATAGACATGCAGGAAAATACTACTGACCATTCCCTCCACATCCTTCTGCCTTGTCTTCATATGAACTCCTGGTCACTTGGCACAGCCAACAATTTAACTTATCACAACATAATCACAAATAATCTGTAACTGAGTTATCCTTACAGATGCCTTAATGAAGCCTAAAAAGACTGATTCATACAGAAATTAGGCATTCTATTTTTCATTAAAAAATAATTTTTAGGAAAAATACCAAAAAGATAAAAGCTAGGAAATCTGAGTTCTGATGGTGAATCTGGTGTAATTGTGAAGCAAAACATTTTGGTGTTTTACTTCTTCTGCATCATGTTAGTAAGTTAAAGAGATACTTTCCTGACCAAAACTACTACTGTCTTATTAATGTGAATACATAAGTAAAAGGCTTCTTTCTAAGGATACAAGAATCAAACCTAGTTGGAGACAGACTGCTTTTTCAGTTGTACTGTTCTATAGAGTATCACAGAGGGTTTTTACAGCTCTTAATGGAAGTCTCTGCAGACCACCAGGTAGTATGAAATTAGGTGAGACGCATAAGGAAAGATACACAGATATTTCTTTAAAACACAGTTCAGTTTAAGTCTCTCTCAGGTAGGGACCAAAATATTTCCAACACATTGAAGACACCCCACTTTTCAAATCACTTTGAAGGAGAAAAGACATTTGAGCAGTTGAGTACATCCTAAGACAAGCTTTCAAAACCAATGTGAAGTGTTTCCCTGTATATTTTCATACAGGTTCATTTAACATTTCATCTCCTGCATGCCACATACTCGAGTTGTAGGCTGCTTTTTCTGTATGTCACTTATATTTCATTGTCAAGATGACATAGTGATTTTTTTATAATTAAAACACTCCAAGTATTTTTATTCTCCCAGTCTTTCATCCTTACTTTTTTTCCAGAATGGATATTGTAATTCAGCTTTCCTTTAATCTGACTCTGCACTAATTTTATTTTGGGAGGAAGGGATTCTATCAAATGTTGCCAAAGATGCCATATACTTTTATGTTTTGCCACTAAAATCTGAACCAATTTGGTTCAGCAAAGATGATATGTGTATTTCCATAATCAATGAACTCTTGTCTCAAAAGCAAGGAGGTTTGTTAGTCCTGCTTAGTATTTTCAGACATGATTAAAGCTTGACTTATTTTAAAACTTACTTAAACAGCTTTATAAAAGTTAATTTTAAAAAGTTAATTATTAATTGTGAAAGCATGCCATTTGTCCCATTATTGGCTAAACTGAGTTTAAAGGGACAGTTCACTCTAGTAAAACCTACCTGTGCACATATCTGTAGGATAGGGCTAAATATATAGTTTCTAGTTCTAGATAAAATTTTATTTTAATGGTAAAATGCTTTCCATGTCCTTGCAGTGTTAATGAGTCTCTCATGCCACCTTTATAAGAAGAAATTTTTTAAAAAAAAAAAAAAAGAAAAACCACCTTGTTCTGTTCTACTTGGAACAATACTACTTTTTTCAGCCAATATGCTCTTAGCAAGATTGTGTAATTTTCAAGATTGCTCCATTTAAATTTTTCAGAACATTTTATTACTCTGCTCTCAATGGAGTAACGTAGCTTTACGCTGAGGGTAATCAGGTGGAAAAAAAAAAAGTAATGTGCCTCACTGGGAGGTATTTAAGAGGTAATATATCTTTAAGTGTCTCCACCTCTGGATCCACCCACTTCTTGATAGCTGCAGCAGTCTTGTTGACTCACAGAAGCTGTGTTCATGCAATAGCCAGCAATGAGCAGTATTTTTCAGAGATTTTAAGAGCACACCTCCTGCTATGTATTTCGCGTTCTAGCTTGCTGGGGCTGAAGGTGTTTGAAAGAACAGTTTTAAGTTTCTAAGATATTGCAAAAGATAGTTCCTCCTTTCATCCTGGAAAATCCTGACAGACCAGTTGGATACCTTTCAGGCCTCAACCAAGAACTTTATCTGCTCATCCCACTGTCTTTTTTTACAGTAGAAAGACCTGAGAGACCTTTAAGAACTGAAAATCTGACTAATTTAAACAGATGGCTAATCCCAGTGCTGTCTGCAATGGACATCTACATCATCATCAGAAACAGAATAACCTCTTAAAAAGTGGAATCTATAAGAAAAATGGAATTTCTAAAGGAATGAAGGTAAGGTTTAATTGTTTACCCTAATTGCCTCAGTATTGAAAACAAATAGGTAGTTGCAACATTGCTTATTAAGCGAATTTTATGGCGGTCTTAGTCTCCATTGAGCAGGTTGTATGGATTAGGCTTGTCTATTAAGATTGATAATCTTGGGACCTGAAGCTGCTTTTTTTTCTAACATCCTAAACTGCAGTCAGAGTTGTGAATGCTCGTGCAGCACACTGTTGGTACCATGGATTAACCAGCCTCTGGTTCACATCAAACACAATACACACATGCACTGTGGAATGTAGTAGTTTCCTTCTAAAGCTTAACTGAAGGTGGAGTTGACTTTGTGATGCATTAATCACTAGTGGAAAGTTGTTTTATCAACTCAAAGTGCATGTGGAGTGGTTTCTAAAGCGTGATTTATTGCTGCATGAGGATAACCAAAAAAAATGTAAGCAGAGGAAGCTTTTTTTCTTGATGTTTACATTACTGCAATGTTGGTTTAGCTAATGCCTGCACTTTATTGATGTCTGCTCTCTAGCCTTGTACTCCTTAACATCCAAGTCAGTTTACTTGCTTTTTTCTCATGCTGTTCTCTTTGAAACCAGTGCTCCTCATTTATGTGAATGTTTTGTAGAACAGTTGGCATGTAGCATCCTAAAGAACAAGCCACAAAACCAAATGTATGCTTTTGCCTGAAGAACCCAAATCTTAAGCGCTGTCTGTCTGCAATACCTGTTCTGCCTGGGAATGTATTTGTCTGTCTTGAAGTGTCCTAATTCTGGATCTTGATGTGAGTGTTAGTAGAAAGTTTTGTAGTGACTAGAAAAAGGCTGGATTTATGGTGTGGTGTGATGGTGAGAGGGTGATGGAGCAGGCTGGTTCTGGAGCTCAAGCACTTGCCTGACCATCTGTGTCGAAAACTTTGGACTGCGACCCTGGTGAGGGCTCTGCTATTTTACAAATAAAGTACTATCCTGTGTGTTTCTCTACATGGGGCTCTCACACACCTAGTGCTCTAATGAAGGCACGCCCAGTGTCATGCTTAATGATTGTCTGGCTTTAGGTGTCTCCCTTGAAATGGGTGTTTCCCAATCGTTGGCTTGTGTAGGATGAGGAAAACGAAAACGCTTGTGCAATGATTGAAAAGGCCTTTCTTGGGATTTGCTGCCAGAAACCTCATCTAGCATCCTTTTATCTATCACATGTATCTCTTCATCCTTTTGTAAATTATCTATGTGCCACAATGTCATCTGAAATCTTTCCATTTGAGTGGCAGTTTTCAAGGACTAAGCCTTGCCATTCAGTTACTGTTAACTTGCTGAAAGTAAGCAGTTTTGAAAGCAGTAGGCTCCTTGGAGGCAATTAATTAAGATTTCCTGCTTAATAGGAAAGAAGAGAAGTAAAATAGAATATGACTAAGGATGATCAAAAAGGAAAGAAAGCTTGGCCTGGAAGGGGTGGCAAAGAAATGGGGGAAATATTAGTGAATGTACCTGCTAGGTTAGTGAAGTCTTACAAGCCCCATACAGTTGGAGAAGGGGCTTTACCATGCTGTGTGACCTGTGGAAGAAGCACTGCACCACTGGTAAACACCACCCATGGCTGAAGAAGTGGTGAGGAAGTGAAGCCTTAGAAAGTTCAGGAGACTTATCAAAGGCAGATTGGGTAACTCTGGGTCTAGCACTGCATTCTGAATTGCATACCCTTTCCCCTCTCTTCCTGCTTCAAACATAGATTGGGAAAGAAGGAAACAATGACAGGAGTCCTGCATGAACCAGGAATCTCATTCCTGGTAGGAATCTCCCCGTTCCTGTCTGGTCTGTTTCCCCGCCCCAGCGGCCTCACCCTGCTCGGTACTTAGGCTTTATCCCATTTCACAGCAGCAGATACTGATCCTTCCTCCCTGATCTGTTTACATGGCTTACTGCTGTAGGTGTGAGACTTCACAGTCTTCCCCTCTGTTTATATTTGCAACACCTCACTGAGGGGGTGCTTCCCACGTTGTAGCTGGGATGTGAGGAGCAGGAAATATGGCAGCTGGGTGCACGAGGAAGCTTGTGCAAGAACCAGACCCGGGCTTGTCCTGATTCTAATCATCCTCCTCCTTTCCTCTTTTGCTTTTACTCTACATTGCCCAGATTTCCCCCAACACTCTGACACACACACACGTATATGTACTGCATATTCACTAGATTAATTCACCATTAATGACCTTACACAGGAGGGGAAATATAGTTGTAGGATATTCAGGGGATGTGACTGGTGATGCAGGTTCTAGCACATGAGACTTGAGGAAGTTCTGAAATTCGTGGGGTTAGTTACAGCTGTGTTACTTTACAAGGAGAGGAGGAGGGAGTATTCTGGTTTGAGAGGCAGCTGGTGGTACAGAGGCTGCAGCGAGGGCATGGCACAGGGAAGGCTTCTGAGCCAGGGATATGTAGCAATAGCTGCACACAACTGACTGACTGGAACATCAGGCTTTGCAGAAATCAGCTCCATAAACCCCTTTTTTCTAGGGAGTCCACAGGAAGCTCTGGCTTTGGAAACACTGCTTTTCAAAACACTGACTCAAGAACAATATATTTTGAATCTTAATGGGGCAAAACCCTTTTGTGTGTCTCTGCATACACGACAGAAATAGAGAAGCAATTCTGATACAGCACACCCCCCAGGGTTCCAAAGAAAGGATTTTGTTTAATGGCTTGGTGAAGGTAATTAGGGATGATCAAATGTGGGGGAGTAGGGATGCTCTCTTTGCTTCTAGCAATCTGTGGCATACCAACAACAGGAAGAAAGTAGCTGAATGAACCTCAGCCATGAAGCATCCTACCAGAAGTGAAGCTGCTGATTTTGGGGAAGAGATATACCACTTTTAGGGTGGGACTGCTTGTTTCAATAGCTTCTGTGATTAAATCTGACTTGCTAACTCTAGCTGATAGCACAGACTCCCACCTAGTAATAGACACTTGGCCTAACCATGTCCCCACAACCATGCTGCATCTTTGCATTCATCCCAAGCTCGGCCACAGGAAGACCTAAGCTGTGGAAGGTGGGCTGTGGGCCATGTCTTCTGCTTTATTACTGCTTATAACACAGGTAGGTGCATTTTTTTCTTCCAGAACCTGTAGCCTGGACTTACCTTTATCCAAAGCACAATTCAATATCTTCCCTATTTATGTGACTGTAGTAGGCAGGAGAAGCTATGCCATTATAGCAAAGGTTTCTTTTGATATTATCACAGAATCACAGAATGTTAGGGGTTGGAAGGGACCTCTGGAGACCATCAAGTCCAATCCCCCTGTCAGAGCAGGACCATCTAGTCTAGGGCAGGTCACAAAAGAAAGCATCCAGACAGGTCTTAAAAATCTCCAAGGAAGGAGACTCCACAACCTCCCTGGGGAGCCTGTTCCAGTGCTCTGGAACCCTTACGGTAAAGAAGTTGTTCCTCATGTTGAGGTGGAACTTCTTGTGCTCCAGCTTGTGACCATTGCCCCATGTCCTATCACAGGGCAAAAGTGAAAACAGGTTGCCCTTTTCTTCTTGACACCGAGCCCTCATATATTTATGCAAATTAATTAGATCCCCCCTAAGTCTTCTCTTCTCCAGGCTAAAAAGTCCTGAGTCTCTCAGCCTCTCCTCATTAGGCAGGTGTTCCAGTCCCTCAGTCATCCTCGTAGCCCTCCACTGGAATTATATTGTTGTTGATATGGTGTCATTTGTTGAGGACATTGGATTTTTTAAAACAATAAATGTGTTTGTTTAGTGGAAATATTTTTTTTCCTACAGTACACATGCAATAATTTTATTTCTTTGACGTATCATTTTATTGGATACTTTAGAGAGCCTCCAAGACAGTACAAGTCTACTTGCAAATTCAATTTTTTTTCTGTTCTGCACTGAGAATGGAAGTAGCTTAGAAGAAACTTGTAGCAAACAAGACTTACAGCCATTCCCAGGACTTTCAGGCTCCTTTCTGAAAGCAAAAAGTGTTCAGAATGAAAACCAATGAAGTTATCTGCCCTACTTATTTGTTCACCTCCTTACTCCCCAATGAAGATCTTAAGGAAAACATATATTCTTTAAAAAGATAGTCAGGGAAGGAACATGTCATGCAACTGTTCTTGCAGGTTGTAAATGACCCATGTAATTTCTTTGTGCTCTGCTCTCTCACACACACACATAGCACTTACTTCAATACTTTTGCAGTATTTAGTGTAACTGGGGAATTCTGGCTGAAAAAACAATATGAAGGTTAACAAGTCCTGTGAGAGAAAAAAATAAGCCAATTCCCACAATTAGAGTCATGCAATAAGGCTTATTAATAAGAGAAGAGAAAGGAGGGAAGGTTGAGGCTGATCAGTCTATAACCTTTCCAAGTGTTTGCAGGCTCGGCTGTGCAACTATCATGATCTACCAACAGAATCTTTTTATTTTCTGGAATATCTTCATTTTTTTGGTGTTGGTTTGGGTAAAAACAAACTGACAGGGGACTTTGGCCCCAGCTTATTTCACAGGCAGCACATAAGCCTTCAGGACCTGTCCCGTTGTGCATGCAGTAGTGGAAAGGGCAATCCCCATAAGTCTTCTGGCTTTCATAGCTATAGTGACAACAGGAAGAATGGAGAATTGGTTTCTAGTCAGAGTTCCCTACCAACACCTGTTGCTTCAGCTGTTCCACAGGCATGACCTCCTCATCCTCAGTTCCTGCCTTCTCTTCTCCTTGGTTTCGAGCCCCAGAAATTTGCTGCTTTGCACCAGCACTCTCAGCTAATAATCACAGGTCTCAGATCCACACCCTTGTTTCTGTCATCTACCCTGCTATGCGATGAGCTCAATGCATTGGAAGCAGGAAATGTTGTAGACATCTTTCTCCAAACTTAGATGTGACCAGTGTGTAGGCACATCTAACAGCCAATGACTCTTGTAGCAATGCTTTAAGTGTGTTGCATGAGACTTTGTGTGCAAGGCTAGAGATTCCTCACATAGCACAGTAAGTTAGTCGCCATCAGGGC